AACCTGTTTTCTGCCCCATTTATTTATTTATTTAAAGGGAGTCTTGTTCTCTCACACAGGTTGGAGGGAAGTGGTGCAATCTCGGCTCATTGCATCCTCTGTCTCCTGGGTTCAAGTGATTCTCCTGCCTCAGCCTCCCAAGTAGCTGCGATTACAGACGTGCACCACCATGCCCAGCTACTTTTTGTATTTTTAGTAAGAGTAGGGGTTTCACCATGTTGGCCAGGCTGGTCTTGAACTCCTGACCTCAAGTGATCTGCCCACCTCGGCTTCCCAAAGTGCTGGGATTACAGGTGCGCCTGGCCCCTGGCCCCTTTAGAGGTGAGGACCCCACTTAGCTATGTTTCAAATCTCTCCATATCATACAGGTCCTCCTCTGTCCTTTATCCCAACATGGCTCTCACCTTTGGGGAAGTTTCCTTAGGCCCCCAACCCAACTCTTGTATATGACCCCTGCTCTCAGCTCTGCCCCCTGTCAGTCCCCTGTCCCTTGGGGGCTAACACCCGTGGGGCCTCCCCCAGGGATGGTAACTCACATCTTCCTTTCCCAGGGTGTGCAATTCCACCTCCTCTCTCTAGAGGTCTCTGGATCCTCAGCAAGCAATATTATCGACTCTGACAAGCAATCAAGGACTTTATTTGAAGGATTTGGGGGTGGTTCACAGAATGAAAGGCACGGTGGAAGATTCAGGCCAGGGCAGGGCAGACATTAGGCAAGTCAGTGATGCAGGCAGCGGAAGCTCGTCGTCTTCTCGCCATACAGCTGCTGGGATCAATCAGCATCAATTATTTTGTTCCCAATCTCGTATCCTTCACAGATTTCAATTCTTGTGTCTACCCAGTGGGCAGAAGAGGGCAGGACCTCTTGAGTGACAACCCACCCAGAAGTGTCCATGGTTTGGAAGGGGTCATCCCCAAAAGGATCTCAGAAGGAGATCGTCTGTATACAGAGGACAGAATGCTGGGAGAGCCGCGCGGCCTTTGTCCACCAAAGTGGTTTTTCCTGGCCTGTAATTGAGCCTCTCCTTTATTTTTCTTATCTGTGGAGTCTCTCACTTGACATTGCCTACCGGCAAATGATGAAAAGAGTGGCATAAGTGAGGCCCAGAGAGGCTCAGTGCTGGACTTAAGGTCACTCAGCAACTTTAAGAGAGAGCCGGGAGACCCCAGTTCCATTCACTGTTCTTGCGTTTGCTGTGACTCACCTGGAGCCCTTGGGGCGGCCTCCCCTGTGGACAAGGCCTCCCGCAGATACTTTTTGGGGTAAGGGCTTCCTGACTACTGTTGAGAGGAACAGCAAGCCCAGACCGCAAAAAGATCCAAAGGAGACAGCAGCCACCCCATGGCAGGGGGCCTGTAGGGGAGGCTGTGGCCCCTCCAGGGCTCAGCTCGCACCAGGAAGACCGGGTCAGGGAGGCGGAGCCAGGACCTGCGGGGAAGAGGGCAGCGGGGGAGCAGGGGAGGGGAGGAGGAAAAGAGTCCTGGGGAGAAGAGAAAGCTGAGAGCCCCAGAGACAGGAGGCAGGCAACAGGAATCCCAGCTGTAATCCCCCTCCACCTCCCAAAGTCACAACCTCCTTCTTATGAAACAGAAGTGGCCAAGCTGTAGCGCACTCCTGGGACGAGGCAGTTTGAACCTGTGGCTCCCCTTCATTTTCCCCTTTCATCTCCTACATGCTGTGCCTCCTCAGAGCCCCCTGCTGTGCCTGGACTTCATTCAGATGGTCTGGCCCAGGGTTTGTCTGCAGCCTTGGTGCTTCCTTCATCCCACAGTGTCAGCACACCCAATTCCCACAAGGGACTCTCTCAGAGTCCCAAAATGCTAAGTGTCCCAAGAAGAAGATGCCATCCCTGGTTGAGACCTTGGGGACAGACATCTTTGAACTTGCAAGTGTGGGCTCTGGTCTGCTTTCAGCAGATGCTGCTGTCGTGGAGAAGGCGGGGGTCCCAGGGCCAGGTCAACTTAGCCTGATTAAATTGCTCCTGCCCATCTCAAATGAGCCATTTCTCCAAGGTGGCAGCTAAGCCCCGCATCTCACAGTGGCCTCCTGCTTCCATAACATGAGGTCAGCAATGCTACACAGAGGTCCCTGAGCCAGCCTGGCCTGGGTCTTACCTGCCTTAGAGGCTGCAGCCCTGGAAGGGGCGAGGAGATCCTAGAAGGGCCAACATTGCAGGTTTGCAGAATGGATGGTGTCCGCCTCCGGTTCCCTGCAGAGCTCAGGATGCGATGGTTTATCTCTTGCTTTTCCTGAAGGTGTGGAGGAACCATCGAGACCTGCTGGAGAGGGGCCCTCGTGCCTTCCCCAGACTCCCAACGTGACACAACATGGGCTTGTCAGCAGGGGCCAGCTGGAGGCAGTGTAGACAGGGGCCCTGCTCTGCAATCTGGTCCAGGGAAGAGACCCAGAATGTGAGTGTGTAGCCATGGATGGAAGGGTGTGGCTGCAGAGCAGGCTGCAGTGGAGAACTTGGGGACACAGAGACTCTGAGGGTGCCTGTGCCGGCACAGGCGTCCACCTGCCTTCCCATGGGTGGGCCTGGGTTACTCTCAGGAGTAAGAGGAGAAAACCCTTTTTTGCCCATGGAGTAGGCCTCCCCTTCTTAGCTGCTCAACTTGGAGCCCAAGCCCCTGTACCGGGCAGCGACTCTGGGGCAGCAGCCAGGTACACCTTGAGGGGGCACTGCGGTCTCCCACGGAGTGGAGAATTGCCCACGGCCAGCTTTCCGTGCTGGCTGCCCCTGGGATCGCTGGGTCCCGCTCCTACCAGCATGGTTCTCGTGAAATCTCTTGGAACTCCAGTCTCTGACTGCCTCCTGCCCCACCTTCTTTGCTGCAGCCTGGGCCAGAACCAACACAGGGACAACATTGATTGGTGGTGGTGGGGCGGGGACACCCTCCTGGTGGGCTTGAGCTGAGCCACACGGGCCAAAGAGCCTGGGCCACTAGGCAGGGCTGGTGAGGGCAGCGGGGAGCATGGCAGGTCCCTCCGGCACCCACACAGGGGCCTGCCCCTACCGAGGACGCTCTCTCCTTGGCATCCCCGGGGTCCTCCTCTTCCAAGGCTTCTCCTCCGTGGATTCTGCATGTCCAGCACTTCCATGTATCCAGTGCTAACTCGAAGCACAGTGCTGTGTGCTTTCCCTGTGGAATCTCGCCTGTTCCTACATCAGGAAATGAAAGTCCTACTTCCAGCTTTAGGGCAAAAACCTCAGAGTCCTCCCTGGCTCCTTCCTGTCACTTTACCTCTCCTTCGTCAGCAAATATTGTTATGTCTCCGAAAAGACTCTAACCTGCTCCTCACCCTCTCCACCAGCCACCATCTCTTACCTCCAAACAGCTCTCCCCTTTCCAGGCTTGCTCCTCGCAGTCTAGTCTCCACACAGCAGAGTGATCCCTTGAAAACGATGTCTTCGCGCCTGTAATCCCAGTGACTCAGGAGGCTGAGGCAGTTGGATCGCTTGAGGCAAGGAATTTGAGACCAGCCTGGACAACATAGCAGACCCTGTCCTTGCAAAAAAATTAAAATTAAAAAGTTAGTTGGGTGTGGTGGCACGCACCTGTGAGCCACGGTCATACCATCACACTACAGCTTGGGTGACAGAGTGAGATCCTGTCTCTAAAATAAATAAATAAATGAAAATAAATAAAAACAATGTCAGACCCAGTCTCACCTCTGCTTAAGGCCTCCCCCTCACCCGTCACCCATCTGGTTCACTCCTCTCCAGACACACTGGCCTCCCTGCTGGGTCTCACACGGCCAACCATGCCTCTGTCTCAGGGCCTTTGCACGTGCTGTCACCACTGCTTGAATGCTCTTCTCCTGTAGATCCCAACGGCTCAACCCCATGGCTCACCCCCACTCCTCACTAGGTTACTTCTCAAAGTGACACCTTCTCAGAGAAGCTGTGATGGTGAATTCTAGGTGTCAACTTGACTGGGCCACAGGGTGCCCAGGTATTTGGTCAAACATTATTCTGGGTGTGTCTCTGGGGGTGTTTTTGGATGGGATTAACATTTGAATCAGTAGACTGCATAACACAGATGGCCCTCTGTATTAGTCTGTTTCCACACTGCTATAAAGATACTACCTGAGATTGGGTAACTTATAAACAAAGGAGGTTTAATTGACTCACAGTTCCGCCTGGCTAGGGAGGTCTCAGGAAAATTACAATCACGGCGGAAGGGGAAGCAAGCATGTCTTACATGGCAGCAGGTAACAGAGAAAGAGAGACAGAGAGAGCAAGAGCAGGGAAAACTGCCTTAAAAAACCATCAGATCAGGCCGGGCGCGGTGGCTCAAGCCTGTAATCCCAGCACTTTGGGAGGCCGAGACGGGCGGATCACGAGGTCAGGAGATTGAGACCATCCTGGCTAACACGGTGAAACCCCGTCTCTATTAAGAAATACAAAAAACTAGCCGGGCGAGGTGGCGGGCGCCTGTAGTCCCAGCTACACGGGAGGCTGAGGCCGGAGAATGGCGTGAACCCGGGAGGCGGAGCTTGCAGTGAGTTGAGATCCGGCCACTGCACTCCAGCCTGGGCGACAGAGCGAGACTCCGTCTCAAAAAAAAAACAAAAAAAAACAAAAAAAAAACCATCAGATCTCTAAGAACTCCCTCACTATCAGAGAAGAGCATGGGGTAAGCCACCCCCATGTTCCAATCACCTCCCACCAAGTCTCTCCCTGGACATGTGGGGATTACAATTCGAGATAAGATTTGGGTGGGCACATGGAGCCAAACCATAACACCCTCCCTAATGTGGGTGGGCCTTACCCAATCAGTTGAAGGTCTGAACAGAGCAGAAAGGCTGAGTAAGAGAGAACTCTCTCTGCCTGGCTGCATTTGAGCTGGGACATCATTTTTTTCCAGCCTTCAGACTTGAACTGAACATCAACCCTTCCTGGGTCTTGAGCCTAGCAGCTCTTGGGACTCATCAGCCTCTATACTTGTGTGAGCCAATTCCTACAATAAATGTCTTTATACACATGTGTGCACACATGTGTGTCCTCATTCTCTATGCCCTCACCTACTTGGTTAGACTTCACAGTTCTTTTCACAACCACTCTATTTTATAATTTTTTGCCATGAAGCAGGACCCCATCTGTCTTCATCGTTGCTACATTTTCTGTGCCTAGAAGTGTGCCTGGCACATAGTAGGTGCTTAATAAGTATTTACTGAATAAACTCACAGATGAAATGAACCCAAGGGTGAGACTGTGCTTGGCAAACACAGAGAACACTCACATGTGTGGAACAACTAAACCTCAGCCTCATTCTCTCCACCCTCCGCTTCTTGGACCATCCACATAGGCTGGCTCAGAAGTCAGTGGCTCACATTTCCAGTTGCATCATTAACAGAACCCAGCCCATGTGTGGGTCCTCCTGCTGCAGAAGCCTATGCTTGTTGAAAACAATTCACAGCCTTTCCTCCCAAACCAGCAACCTTCCAGAGCTTTTCTGACCAACACTTGACCCAGTCTGGGCATTTATGGTAGGAGGGTAAGTGTAAGTGACAAGGGGGCCATAGGAAACCCCCAACTCTCACCCCTCCAAACTGCTCCCTCCCACTTCCTCTTAATAGGGAGGAAGCTTTCCTTGCAAAGGTAACAGGAAACAGAGCACAAAGCATCCTCCTATGGAGGTGAAAATGGCTGAGATCGAGCTTTTCCTCAGAACTCACTACATTTCACTGAAGCGGGAGTGGGGAGAGGGAAACAGGCTTTGGAGCTTTGAAATAGGAGGCAGGGGAGTAGGAGGGGCAAGGTAGGGTAGGGGAGTTGGGGAGGGCAAAAAGGGAACCAAAGCAGGGCCTCACTAGCCCCAACAGAGCCTTCGTGCAAATGAGAGAAAGGGGACCCCTCTCCCAGACCCGCCAGTGTGGCCGGCCCGTAGCCAGAGCTGGTTTCAGTCCCAGCCTGTCCCCTTGGCAATCACCTCTGTTCAAGGACAGTGGACACAGTCACACACCTCCCAGGCTTGCTCCTTTCTGCCAACTGTGATTCCTCCCCCTGCCCCTGTTTCAGATCAGTCCTCAGGTTTTGCCTCCACAAGCCTCTCGGACCCCCTGCCACCAGCCCCACCATCCCAACCTCCCGATTGTGGCCTGTCACCCCTCTGGGAATAAGCTGTGTACTTGGCTGAGATTCCCACCTTCCCAGTGTCCCTCCTGGGACTTGGCAAGCATAAAACATGAGCTGGCGCAAGGACAGAGGTCTTCAGCTTCCCTCTCCCGCTTTCTTCCCACGCAGGCTTTTGGACCAGGTTCTGAAAAGGACTTTCCTCAGGCCACTCCCCTGCAGAGGGTAAGGGGTGAGGGACCCCGACCAGTATCTGAGATTGCACAGGGCACAGGGTGGTGAGGTTGGATCTCCTTCTGGCTCAAATGTGTGTCCTACCCTGTCCCCCTAGCCCTTCTGCCTGGCACCCTCTGTGCCAACAGGACCACCAGATCCTGCACTGTCCCAGCTTACCTCCCGCCCTTCCTCCAGAAATTCCTTCCTCCTCTCTCAGAAAGTCTTCACCACCCACCCTCCTCCTCTCTTTCCCCATCCAAACCCTTGCCTGCTGAGTGGAGATAAATCAATCTTTCCTTCTTCCTGGAACTTCCCTCGGTACCTTAATCCCTTTCCCTGAATCCCTGCAGCTGGTGCCTCTGGGCCCTACATCTGCTCCTCAGTTGCTGGCTTGGCAGACGTCAGTGAGTGCCTGTGCAAGCCTCGCTCTGCGCTGGGAGCTGGGGATGTAGAGACAAGCCCACCACAGACCCTGCCCTCCAGGAGCTCCCAGATTAGAAGGGAAGTGTGGACATTTCTTCCTGGGTGCCCGGAGCCCTTCCAACTAAACATCCTGCAGCAAGCGCATCAGCTTCTCCTGGAGCCTGATCTTTCTCCTGGGCCACTTCTTCCCATGGCACGAGCACAAATAATGATGGGGCAAAATCAGCGGCCATGGGGACGAGAGGAGGGTCCGAGTGCTGCAAGGCCCAGGGAAGAAGACTCTCCAGGCCAAAAGGGGTGAAGGGGAGGAGACAGGGAGCCTTCACCAAAGAGGTCATATTTGAGCTGAACTGGGAAGGATGGGAGGGATTTTAATTTCTGAGACGAAGAGGAGGAGAGAATGGCAGAAGCCAAGGCTCAAGGACGAGACATACACAGAGAGGCTGGTTTGTAGGTACAGGAAGGGGAGAAGTGAGATAAAAGGTGGGAAAGGATGTTCAGGCAAAGCTTGGTGGTCCGTGCCAGGCTGAAGAGCCTGCATTTCCTCTACAGGCAATGGGCAGTCTCTGAAGATTTTGGGAAAAACCTGTGAAATTGACTGGATGAGGGAGAGGCTGCTGCAGGTCGGGGAAAAAACAGAGGCTTTGCAATGCTGCTGAGAAGTAATGGATGGAGGCTGACCCCGAAGGACGGACGTAGGAGAGGAGGCAGCAAATGTATGAGAATATAAGAGACAGGAAGGGATAAGGCACAGGTCGTCCGGGAGGCAGGGAGACGGGTCCCGGAGACGAGGACGAAGGGCAGCCGCAGGAGAAGAGCGAGGTGGCTGGATCATATGCAGCATGCGGTCCAACGTAATAAACAGATGTCGGAGACCCACCACGTAAGGGTTCGCTTTCTGCTCTCAAAGTGTAGGACTTGATAATGACGACGATCTGTGAAGGGCAAAATAGGGACAGAGGGAGGCAGACACAGAAGCTGGCGGAGGAAGGAGGCGTACAAGCTTGGGGGCCTCGCTGAGTCCTGCACACCTCCGCTGTGGTCCAGGCTGAGCACCCCCTGGCACGGTACCTGCAGCCTGGCCAAGTGGCGGGGGTCAGCGGGCAGCCTGCGGCAGCGGACCCGGCAGGAGCCCCGCCCGCTTGGGAAGGAGGCGGCGCAGCGCCCGGGGAGCCACGGAGCCACGCCCACCCCGGTGGGCCCGGGTGGGGCGTGGCCTCCAGAGACCGCAGGGACGCGACCCCCTGCTCTGAGCCGGGAACTCCAAGCGGAGGTCAGGCGGCCGAGCGCCACCGAAGGGTGGACACCTGGCACAGGTAGAGCCCCTGCGTTCAGTCCCAACTGTGTCCGCTGCCCGGGTGACTTTGGGTGGCTCAGTGCGTCTGTCTCAAAGGCCAGTGCTCACGCCTTTTGACTGTAAAACAGGAGAGTTTCAGACACAAAGGAGGGGGTGTCCCTACCTCAGTGAAGGGAACCTCCATCCTCCTGGCTGCTCCTGCCACCGCGGCCACCTCCACTTCCTCACCCCTCGTTTCTCAAAAGTCTCAGGTTCCAACTCCTAAACGTCTTCTGAATCTACCTGCGTGTCTCCTGCCACCCTACTGCCCTGCCCTGTAGACGACCACCGTGCTCTCGCGATCTTATTGGCCACAGTGGCATTCTTCCTGGTCACTCCAAACCCACACTTGCCCCACTAATCCATGCCCTCCTCTGCATCCACAGTAACTTTTTAAATTTTTTTTTTTTTAAGATGGGGCGGGGGGTGGGGTCTCCCTATGCTGCCCAGCCTGGACTCCAACTCCTGGGCTCAAGGATCCTCCTGCTTCTCCTTCAGCCTTCTGAGTGGCTCTAATTTTTTAATGCAAATCTGCTTAAGCTCCTCCACTGCCTAAAAAACCTTTAAATCATTTCCTGCCGCTCTTAAAATTAAATCGCTCCTGATCACCTGCCTACTCCTCGGCTCCTCCTGTGTCAGTCTTTCTCGGTCTCCCAGTGCTTTGGCCATGCTGGCTTCCTTCCAGCTCCTTGCCTCTGGGCCTTTGCCCTTGCTGTCCCCTCTGCCAGGAACACCCTCATTCCCACTCAGCCTGGATAACTCCCGTGCAGCCTGCCACAGGGAGCTTAATTATCACTCCCCCTGAGAGACCTTCCCAGCACCCAGATTCAGTCCACCCTGTTAGTCGGTTACATAGCACCCTGTGCTTCTTCCTAGCACTTAATCTCCTTTTGCAAATACATATGTACCACTGTGATAGTTTTGTTTGCTTAATGTCTGTCCCACTGGACTATAAATCCATGAAGACAGAAGTGTCATCTTGTTAGCTGCTATATGCCCAGTACCCATAGTTAGTGTTGATGGAATGAAAGAAGGAAGGGAGGAATTAAACAAGCAAAGAAGGATGGAAAGAAAGGAGGAGGGGAGGAAAGACGGAATGGAGGAGAGAGAGAGGGACAAAGGGAGGAGGGAGGAGGAAGGTAAGATGGAAGGACTAGCGACAGGAAACTGGAGGTCATCTCTGGATCCAGAGTCTGCAAGTATTCTAAGATTCAGGTCAACAGAAGGCGGGAGATTGGTCAGTGTCTGTGGAAAACGGATCTTAAACAGCTCCATCAGAGGACAGAGGCAGAGCAGAGGCACTGGGCCCAAGTTCTAATCTGGGTGCTTTCCGTCCACTCCTGCTGCTGCTGCTGCTTTTTTTTTTTTTTGAGGAGTCTCACTCTGTCGCCCAGGCTGGAGTGCAGTGACGCGATCTTGGCTCACAGCAACTCTGCCTCCTGGGTTCAAGTGATTCTCCAGCCTCAGCTTCCTGAGTAGCTGGGATTATAGGTGCTTGCCACCACACATGGCTAATTTTTGTATTTTTAGTAGAGATGAGGTTTCTCCATGTTGGTCAGGCGGGTCTGAAACTCCTGACCTCAAGTGATCTGCCTGCCTCAGCCTCCCAAAGCGTGAGGCCTCATCACAAATGCTGATTTTGGACGTGCGTCTTGTTCTATGAGCCACATTGCTGCCACTTACAGAGGTTGACTGTTACTGCTCTTGGGCCCTCTTGAGTGGCAGTGGGTTTTGCCAGCAGTTACTGAGATCTCCCTTTAAAGTCTCTGTATTCCTGTTATAATTGTTATGACCTCAAATGACCTTCTCTTTCCAGAGATCTCTGGGAAGGGGTCTCTTCAAATGGGCATCCCACCTACTACTGCATACTACAGCTCCTGTTACACAGTAGGCATTATAATACTGTGACTTTACCACCTGGTGACTGACTTTTTACGTCTTTCTTCATTTTCGTTTCATATTTCTTGATTTATCACCTGCGTGAGAATAAGCTGTCCCTGGTAATTTTCTCCATTCAGTGTTTATCATCCTTAGTTCATTTTAAAACAGAAATATTTCTCTTTTAATCTTTTTTTTGGGGGGGTGTAATGGGGGAACAGAGTCTCATTCTGTTGTCCAGGCTGGAGTGCAGTGGCGTGATCTCTGCTCATTGCAGGCTCAACCCCCTGGGCTCAAGTGATCCTCCCATCTCAGCCTCCTGAGTAGCTGGGACTACAGGCACACACCACCACACCCAGCTAATTTTTGCATTTTTGGTAGAGATGGGATTTTGCCATGTTTTCCAGGCCAGTCTCAAACTCCTGGGCTCAAGTGATCTGCCCGCCTTGGCCTCCTAAAGTGCTGAGATTACAGGCATGAGCCACTGTGCCCGGCAAAACAGAAATATTTCTTATTCAAGTTTTACTCAATAATTTGTAGGCCACTATTTATACTCTTTTTATCAGCTCAGTAATAATATTTTCTGGGTCTATTGTAAGTTCTTATTGTCTTCATAGTTTTATTAGCCATAAAATGAAACTAAATAGAGTAACAGTTGTTTAATTTAACATCTGAATCTTATTCTTGTTCAGGAAATAATTTAGATAAAAATAACTATTGTATACCCTGAATGGTGTATGAATCGACATATGGCTGTTTATAGAATTCCATTCTATTAATAATTTTAGAGTTTCCTGATTTCTTTCTGATGCTAATAGAAATCCAACCTCCCACTCCCTCTCCACCCATCTGAACTTGCTATATCTGGGAATTTGGACTGTGAGGTAAGGGAGGGGCCTCAAAATCTGAAAGCTGTCATCCTTCACTGGGGGGATCTGACCTCAAGGAGAAAGAACTGTTCTCAGAGGTCAAATATTCACATGTGCAGAAAGAACTCTTCCTTACTGCAAGTGAACACCAAGTCTGGAGGCATCATCCCCTGAACTTGTAGGGAGCAAGAGGCAACACAGAATGGTGCAGCTGGTGGACACACTGCACCCTAGGCGTGGCCCTAGGAGCTGTGCTATTGCATCTAGGAGTGGCCCCAGAAACTGTGCTGTTGGAATGTAGGGATGGCCCAGGGAGTTGTGCTGTTGCATCTGGGAGTGGCCCTGGGAGCTACGCTATTGCATCCTAGGAGTGGCCCAGGGAGCTGTGCTATTGCATCCTAAGAGTGGCCCCGGAAACTATGCTGTTGGATCCTAGGAGTGGCCCAGGAAGCTGTGCTGTTGGACCTGCCTGGAGAAACCCTCAGAGATGTTCTGGGGGCTCATAACTGTGGGCAAGGGGATGGCCAGGTAGCTGGGAACTGGCTCAAACAGATGCCAGCAAAGGAGCTGGTCTGAAGAGTGTCTGGGGACAGGGAGGGGGCGCAGAGGATCTGGGCTGATTTTCCAGCTCTGTCCAGGAGGCAGCCTGCTCTGGAGGAGGCATTCACTCTCCAGGCCCTGCCCACCACACAGTGACTTCATCTGGGCTGGTGAGAAGGCCTCCAGCGACCCACACAGCTTCCTGGGTTGTGGTTCCAGACTAAGCCATGGGCAGCTGCTGGACAAAAATGTAACAGGACCTGGAAAGTTACTCCTGACCTCCTTCTACCCACAGTCAGGAGGCAAACCCACCTTCGGGTTGTCTCTGCTATTAGCTAGCCAGGGCCCTGGACCCTGGCACATCCCTAGGGGAATAGATGTGAAGTCACAATTCTGTCTCTGCAAAGGTTGTACCCAGACTTGGGCCCCAAAGCACAAGCCCAAATGAAGCCCTGAAGAACAGCCACCCGCTGCCTCTCCCACCCTCTTCTGCCTCACCTCTCCTCCTGCTTCACTATTTTCCTTTGGATTTCCCTCTCTAGGTCTCTGTCTTCTTCTGTCCCTGCCTTTGTCTGTCTGTCTGTCTCCCCGTCAGACCTACCTCCAGTAGCAATCTGACTTTCTTCTTTCTAGGGCAATAAATAAAGCCCAAAGGAGGAAAAGCAATAAGAAAAGTGAAGGGGAAGGTGTTTTTCGCCCAATCCCCATGCAAAGTCTGTAGGATGGGGAGACTGAGGCACACTGGGGCAGAGACTTGAGGCAAGTGAGGCCAATGAGTGCCAGCCATTTGCTGGGTGCCACAGCACAACTGTGTCATGGGGGAAAGAAAACCTGAACTCACGGTGCGGAAAGTCCATTTGGCATTGGGAGTAATTTTTACCACTTAGCTGGGGCAGAGAAGGCAAAAAGCTACAGTTGGGCTTTCGCTGCTGGCCATGTTGGAGTCACTAGTACTGGACTTGCCCTCAAGACCTGAACAACAAAACAGACAGAACAACTGTTTCCAGTCACTGGGTCATAGGCAGCACAGGACTGGAATTGGTGTTGGTTTTTGTTTTCCACACAGCAGAGCATTTCACTGAAGGACTGTAATTGTTGAGAAAGAGGAATACATGAGGTGAGGCCTGCATTTGCCTTACATTTCTACCCATAGAACTTTCTAGATGGCAGAGATCAGATTGCAGACCTGCTGAAATGGCTGGAATTTGAAAGCCAGTATACCTGTTATGGGCTGAACTGTGTCCCCCCAAAATACGTATGTTGAAGCTCTGACCCCAAGTCCCTCAGAATGGGACTATAGTTGGAGATAAGGCCTGGAAAGAGGTTATTAAGTTAAAAATGAGATTGTCAGGGTGGGCCCTAACTAATCTGACTGGTGTCCTTCTAAGAGGAAATTTGGACATACAGAGAGACAACTTCATTTGGTACTCCTAGCCTCTTGAACTGTGAGAAGGAAACTGTAGCATCTACAGGGGTTCCTGGTGGGTGATTGGCTAAGGGCTAGGTTGCTATGCACAGGGAAAGACTTCACAAAGCCCAGCAGAGAGTGGCTGCTGTGAGCTGAGAACTGAACAGGGTTACCACAGTTCGTGCAAGGCCCAGAGACAAAGTTCTAGTCCAGCAAAGAGTAGTGAGACCTCAGTGAGCACTTCAAGCATCTAGGAGTAATCTCAGAAAAACCACACCTTAGGAG